ACTTTTGTCTCACGCAGGTCGTCTACAGCTCATTAGATCGGTTATTACAAGCCTTGCAAACTTCTGGATGGCAGCTTTTCGTCTCCCCGGTAGCTGTTTAAAGGAAATTGAAAGTCTCTGCTCTGCCTTTTTATGGTCTGGTCCTGATCTTAAGACCACAAAGGCAAAGGTAAGCTGGAAAGATATTTGTGTTCCTCTGAATGAAGGTGGCTTGGGTTTGCGTTGTCTTAAAGATATGAGCAGAGTGTACAGACTTAAGCTTATCTGGCGCATTAACTCGGAATCTACTCTATGGGTTCAGTGGCTCCGATGTTATTTGATTCGTAAAAGTTCTTTTTGGGCAATTAAAGATAATACTAGCTCTGGTTCTTGGGTTTGGAGGAAGCTTCTCAAGCTTCGAGATCATGCAAAAATCTTAATGAGGAAGGATATTGGTAATGGCGAAGACACATCCTTTTGGTATGATAATTGGACCATTTTTGGATGCTCTTTGATTGAAATTCTTGGTGCAAGAGGTCCTCTGGATCTTGGTATCCCTGATCACTATACTGTGGCTGCTGCAAAGAGGAATAGGCGACGAAGGAATCACAGAGTTGATGTTCTGAACCAGATTGAAGATGTTATTCATAATACTCAAGTCTGTGGGGATAAAGACGTTGCCATGTGGAAGCGAGAGGAGGGAAAATACATAAAAACTTTCTCCACTCGGCATACTTGGGAGCTTACTCGTACTAGGAGATCTACATGTACTTGGCACAAGGGGGTCTGGTTTTCTCATGCCACTCCTAAGCATGCGTTTATGATGTGGTTAGCAGTTAGAGGAAGGCTGCAAACGACTGATAGAATGATTCAGTGGAATAACCATATAAATATCACTTGCGTGCTTTGTGATGATGCTCCAGAGACTTGCTCTCACCTCTTTTTTGACTGCAGATACACGATTAGGATCTGGAAAACTCTGATGGAAGATTTCATGAAAGATAGCTTTACTACATCCTGGAGTGAGTTGATTGCGATGGTCTCAACAAGTTGGCTAACCCCCATTATGACCTTTATTCTTCGCTACACTATGCAAGCTACCATGTACATGATTTGGTGGGAACGAAATTTGCGCAGGCATGGAGAGAATCCGAGAGATACAAGCTGTTTAACTAAGTTGGTTGATAAATGTGTTAGGCTCCAACTTCTCTCTATCCAAGGAAGAGGAAGTTATCTTGAGAAGGGATTGGTCACGTGGTTTAGTAGAGTTTGAGGCCTGGAGTTGGATAGGTTGTGCGTGGATGCTTCTTTTTGTTTGTTGGGGATGTCTTCGTGGTTTGCTGCTCGGCTCAAAGATTGGGTTTGCTGATTTGCTGGTATTCTGGTATTCTGGTTTTTTCTGTCTTTGTTTCAGTCCATACACTTCCCTGACCATGATATCTTACTCTTTTTCCTCTATAATGTTTTGTCCCATTTGGGTTTTCATTATAGAGGTTTTAATGAGGAGATTTTCATGGTCACTCCATTTTCGACTTGTTCCATATGGTTGATTTTGAGGGGGGGGTGTTAGTGACTTTTGGTTTCTTCCTTTGTTTCTTAAATTGTAAATGGGGTTTTGTAGCCTCATTCAAAAAACTGATGCACTTTGATGTAGTATGATTTTTGTTTGAATTCAATTTTACATTCATTCAAAAAAAAAAAAAAAAAAAAAAAAAAAAAAAATTTAGGTGTGAGAGGTGCAGTAAATGCAAATTTGGAGTTTAAGTTTTTTTTTCCCCAAAACTTTGAGGCAAGTCGTAAATGAGTTTACACTATCCAGTAAAAAGTATAAAAACATACAAGTGCCTTTAACAATATTGTCCCAGAGGGCAGTGGCAGTTAATTATCACGACAATAACGTTACTATCACCTGCTTGGTCCAAATGGGGAGATCCGTAGATATCTGAGCTTATGGTCCTGATTTTACTCACGTTTTCATCACGAGAAACTATCCTTTCGTGGTGACTCATCCTTTAACGGATGATTGGCTGTGCTTGATATGGGATATAGATGTTGATGAGCCCTTGCTAACTTTATATGCGTTCAAGTTTTGTATTTCTTTTTGTTAATTTTGGGTTTATTATGGGATTTCAACTTAAAATCAATTAGTGATAAGTGAATTAGCTCTTACTCTTTATATATTACTTAATTATTTCTCTAACTATCGATGTGGGACTTAGTTTCATTCATTAACACTCCTCCTCACGCTCATGCGTGGACAACTGTGAGAACAACATCTACAGAGTGGTCCAGCATCGGATGGCTCTGATACCATGTTAACTTTGGGTTTATTATGGACTTCCAACTTAAAACCAATTGGTGATAAGTGAATTGATCCTAACCCTTTATATATTACTTCATTACTTCTCCAACTACCGATGTGAGAACTTAATTTTATTCATTAACACTTTTCTTGGGAATATCCTAAAGATAAACATAGAGTGTAACTTTGGGGATGTGATTTGGGTTTTGCTAATTTAAAAGTTATACTCCATCCGTTTCAATTTAGTTGTCATTCTACGTTTTTGTACACAGATTAAGAAAACAATTAATTTTACATATTTTCAAAATAAAAACACAATTACCTATACACCTAACCACTTTTCAACCAATGAAAAAATAGAATGACATTTAAATTTAATAAATTTTGCATTGAAATTATAAAACGACACTTATTTTGAAACAAAAATTTTACACTAGAATGACATATAATTTGAAACGGAGGGAGTATAACGTTAAGATAAAATTATAAAAAATTCTGCATTTTCATGTATGAGTTATTATAGTTCAACCGAACTTCTAAATTAAAACTGACAAAAGCTTGTAAAAAACTTGGATATGTCCATTACATTTACTACTAATAATATCAATAAACATGTTTTAGTGAGTGACATGAAAGAGTAACAGTACTAGAGGGTAGTGGAAGTTATATTATCACGACAATAACATTTTTCTATTAATATTTAATTAGATTTTGATCCGCGCTTTAAAAGCGTGTGATTAACTTTTGATTTAATAATTAATATAACATAAATTATAATTTATTTATTTCAAATTTTATATAATTAATATATATACGCTTGATTGTGCTTATTTTCTTAAGTGAACAAAACTTTAGAAAAAGTTGAAATTATTCATACATATATTATAAGTAGTTTATTTATATAAAATAATTTACAATGAATTTAGTTTTTAAATCTGTGAGTCCTTATTCTTTTTTAACCTCTTTTAGAGAGACCGTATGTATGTTTTGCTTGAGGACAAGCAAAATGTTAAGTTTGGGGAGTTGATATACCATGATTTTGACCGGTTTTTAGTTATGGTATATTAATGTTTTTACTACTATTTATTATATTTTAGAAGCTTTTAAGCATATTTATAGGTTCAGGAGTATTTTGGAAGAAAATTATGTTTTTGGAGCATTTTATAGAATTGGAGAAATCACTCGATTCGGAATTGACCAACACGACCGAGGTCGACATGGAGTGACTCACGTCGATCGACATGCACCTAGCATGATCGATCGATGCTGAAGGCGCGGAGACCAGTTCGCGAGACAAGCCAACTTGAAGCTCAAACTTCATCAAATGACAATTTTACCCGTGACGAGTTTTAACCTAAGTTTATATACTCTGTTAAAGTGTTAGAGGCAGAAAAAGTTTCTTTTGTATTCTTTTCACAACAAAAGGTTTTTTTTATTTTAGTTTGGGAGAGAAAATCAACAGAGAGATTTGTGATTGGAAATCCATTGTTTTCTATCTATTTATCTAATACTATGATGTTTTATTAATTTTCTTGTGTTCTGAATTGCTTAGCTATGTCTGAGTAATGCATTTGTTAGAATTAGGGTTTAAATAGGTTAGTGGGATTAGCCCCAACTATAGGATCGCTTGTTGTGGTATTCATTAATAGGATGTTCTTAATGCTTATGTTATAGATTTGCTAACTAGAAACCTGAATCTAGGATTGTTAGGTTATTTGATCATCCCTGAATAACTCTGATAGTTTTGACTATGTCCTCATTAAGCTAGGATTTTACTGGAAATAGATCGAAAGTTTGATCTAGAGATCCATAGTGAATGTTTGTTAACTCGCGTGTAACGCCTGACACCACATCGATCGATATTCCCATTGGAAATTGATTAACGTTGAGTGAAGTGAATCAATCGATATTCCTATAAAATAATCGATCGACACTGTCATATATCGGACATTCTTGTCTTGGTTGATGACACTCTAGTCAATAGACTTATTTATTAAGTGAAAGTTTAGTAAATCTATTGTTAAGATAGTTAATGCTTTTTAATACCATGCAAACAACTAGATAGTACCTGCATGATTATAGTGAAAGTTTAGTAAATATGTTGTTAAGATAGTTAATGCTCTTTTCATTTAAGTTCAAAATCTTTATTTCATTCTTGTCGAGTAATTGTCTTGATTAACCAGCATATTTCATATTTACTATTTACTTGCATACTACGAGTTACTATTTATATCACCTATTCTTATTGTTTGATTAGATTGTGTTTCAAAAAAAAAAAGATTCGATTTAATAGGTTCGATAGTTTTTTGTGGATTCGATCCCTAAATACTGCAATAGATCTTTTATTTTAGAGAGTAAGTTGCTCCATAGAATAAATTTGAGCATGTAACAATATTACCAATCAAGTTGATTAATATGATTTAACTTTTACTGTGTACTATTGATAAGTGAAAAAATAATCTAAAAGTGTTACTAGAAGAGAAATACCATTATCGCTAGTTTTGTTTCTATTTCGTCTTTTCACTTTTTAACATTTACTCTATTTTCCATAATTATATTTACTCTGCATTATTACCAAATTTTCCAATCATAACCATAGTATCTTTGTGAAGATTTTGAAAAATTGCTTAAGAGTCATGTTGTTAAACGAGTAGCTTCTGTTTTTTTTTTTTTATAACAATAATAGTAGCTTGTTTTTTTTTATAACAATAGTAGTAGCTTAGCTTATGGTAACTAGACTGTTAGTACACTTAACAGATTCGATCAGCAGACACTTGTGAGCATGTAGCATTGGAGCACACTTGGCGACAAAATGTAGCAAGAAGTTTCCAAATTTTAACGACTTGCAATACCTTTCTGCCATCTCCTGAACCTTAGAAACGGAACCTTGAGTTAAAGGGACTTCGTGGATCAATATATTCTGAAAAAGGATAAACAGTGACTCATTCCATGTTAGGCCATCAGATATAAGATCTCTGTGGCAGGGAAGAAGCATAAACTTCCTCTCTTCTGTTCTTCCACAAAGCAACTTCTGGCAAAAAGCAGAGATATGACCCAAGTGCCAACATTCTTTCAAAACCCTTGAAACCACCTCACAGATGAAGCTGTTGATCCCTTCTTTCCTTAGAATCAAAGGGAACACCAAACCATACTCAGCTGCTCTTTGGTGGATCTTGCAAAACTCAATTGTTGCAGACATCAACACACGAGAAGGGGATTTCTCGAGAGACAAAAACTTGGGAAGCACGGTTGAACATAGAACCTGACTTGGCCAACCAAGCTCTTCTTCCTCACTTTCGTTATTCAGATTCGAAAGCAAAACCGCAGCAGTCTCATCATCTGCATTCCAAGGCTCAACCAATGCCAAAACTCTAAAGGGATCCCTACCTTTCTCCAAGCAAAGCTTCCAAATTTCACTCACAGTTCTTAATCTGAGCTCTAAGATTCACCGCCGATTCGTGAACATCAGGCTGTTAACCAACATTAATCTCATGATCATTGTCATAATCCACAGCTTCTCGATGATCAACTTCCATATTATCCCTACGTTGACTCATCACATCCTCTCCATTACAAGAATCAACAACCAGCGTCTCTGAACCTACATCAGCGCATGATACTGGAAGCCATGGAAGAATTGAACCAATACAACCAGTTTTCTTCTCGGTAAGCCAATCAGGTACAGAATCAAACTCATCCCTAATGCTACCATCATCAGCTGAACCCAATTCGAGACGAGATATCCAGTCAAATTTTCGTTCAGGCATTCTATCGAGCAGGTTCTGTGCATCTCTCTGTGCTAGCCACAAACCAAATCCTCAACTCAAAACCTCCGTTGATCGAAGGAACGACATAATCCGAGACTGAACCATGTTCGGTAACGTCTCAATGTACATAACCCTAAAAAGAAAAACACTTTCATCAGCAAGAAGCTAAAATCGATTCGATAAAAAGATTAAAAATCAAATCTTGCGAATTGGTTATTACTTGTTTGAAGATGGAGATTAGTTCTGATCGGTTACGTAGCGTTGTTTCTTCAGCAGTGATACAAATGAACTCCGGTTTATCGGAGAAGAAGAGGAGGAAGAGATGGAAGCTTCATCCAACAAGAGCGACGCCTGGGTTTCCGGTGAGGGACTCTTGGAGAAAATGTCGAGAAGCGGAATCCACTCCTCCATGGTGGCGCGTGGAACCTGAGAGACAATTTGAAAACAGGCAAAAGGCACTTGTAAACGTTAAACGACGGCGTTTGTTCAGTTAAGAAAGAGATCACTCTTTTTTTTTGCGCAAAATAAAAGAGATCACTAAGAACGGCAGCGTAGAGGAACCTCCGAGTCCTTGAAGTCTCTCTCTTTCACTCTCTGTAGCTCTTGGACTAAATCACTTGAATCGCATTTTTTTACCGGGAAACCAGACGTGGATGTCACTCCACGACCAAGACCAAATACTCAAAGCTCACGAAACTCTGATCAAAGTTTGCATCTTTCTGAGGTTTTAGGAGAACATAGAAGAAGCCATGATCACATGCGTCACTCTCTCCCCAGCTACCGCTTTCGCCTTCCTCTTCCCAAAACGCCGTCGTTTCCCTTAACCAAGTCTCAAAGTCACCCGTGGCTCGCCCACTCAAGAAACTTGATAAGGTTCTAGTTCTACTAATCTCCTCAGACGGGTTTCGTTTCGGGTACCAGTTCAAGACCAAACATCCACCGTCTGATCACCAACGGGACAGAAGTCGAAACAGGTCTAATCCCTGTTTTTCCGACAGTAACTTACCCCAACCACTACTCCATCGTCACAGTCACAGGTCTATACCCAGTGAACCACGAGATCATCAACAACAACTTCGTTGATCCGAAAACATGGGATGTTTTCACAATGGCTAGTCACGAGACAAAGTGGTGGTTAGGTGAACCGCTTTGGGAAACAGTAGTGAACCAAGGGCTCTAGGCGGTTACTTACATCTGGCCTGGCTCTCAAGTACACAGCTCTTGGGATGATGATGATGATGATGATGATAGAGTTGATACCATCTTGAGCTATTTCGATTTGCCTAGTAGTGATATCCTGCTAAGCTAAACGAACGGATTCTCTGTAAAGAATGATTGTATTGAATGTTAATACGAGAATTACAACAGAATCGATACTCTCATCACCTGAGTATCATACTACTCTCATCACCTGAGTAGTCTCAGCACATCGCCAAGTTACAATTGTAAATCTCGATAAAAGATCTCTAACAACCATCAATAACTATTTATATCAAATGANATACGAAAGCTTCTACTCTGTAACTGATAACCTTCTCTTCCCTCCAGAGTATCTCTGTAACTGGTAACCTTCTCTTCACTCCAGAGTATCTTCTCTTATCTTTATTTATTCTTCTTCTCGTGAACCTTCTGTCCCTCTCAGAGTCTTTCCAGTAACTCCTCTTACTCTGTTCCGCTTATACGTATACTTGTACCTATCAATACTCTCCCCCATTGACAGCAAGCTTGCCCTCAAGCTTGTAATCTGGAAAAGACGACTTAAAGTCATCCAACAACATCCAAGTACTATCATGATCCAAATGAGCCTTCCACTTGACGAGCAACTCCACATTTGCGTGATCATTTACGCGAGACGTGATGATATCTTCCGGTTCCAACGCTATATTCTCCAAATCTGTACACGCAGGAGGAATCTGTTGAAGCACCTGATCCTGTCCTAACGCCGCTTTCAACTGAGATATGTGAAAGACTGGATGTATACGAGCCTCCTCTGGTAACCGCAGGCGATAAGCCACCTTACCAATGCGTTCCAAAATTTCATATGGCCCAAAATACTTGGCCGCAAGCTTTTGACAGTAACGCCGAACCACTGTATTTTGCCGAAAAGGCTTGAGCTTCAAGTACACCAGTTCACCTACTGCAAATTCGAGATCCCTTCTGTGTTTATCAGCTTGATTCTTCATAAGCTGTTGAGCGCGAGACAAGTGCTGCTTGATTTGTAGTAACATAGCATCACGTTCCTTCAGTGCTTCAGCCAAATCGAAATTTGTTGTAGACCCCTCTTCAAAACGTATGATCTTAGGCGGTTCCCTCCCATAAACGACTTGAAACGGAGTCGCTTTCAATGACGTATGAAATGATGTGTTGTACCACAGTTCTGCCCAAGACAAATATTTAAACCATGTCTTTGGATGTCCTGAAGCGAAACAGCGTAGATAGGTCTCCATACATCTGTTAAGAACCTCTGTCTGTCCATCTGTTTGAGGATGGAAGGCAGTACTATACTTCAACTTAGTTGCTGATAAACGAAACAAATCCTTCCAGAAAATGCTCAGAAAAATGCGATCTCTGTCAGAAACGATAGACTTCGGAAAGCCATGATGCTTCACCACTTCCTGCATAAACTTCGCTGCTACATCCACAGCCGTGAATGGATGCTTGAGTCCCACAAAATGACCATATTTGCTTAACCTGTCCACAACCACCATGATAACATTACACCCTTGAGATGTCGGTAAACCCTCCACGAAATCCATCGACACATCTTCCCATATTTGATTCGGAATTGGCAATGGTTGAAGTAAGCCTGCTGGTGTTAGAGTAGAGTATTTATGCGTTTGACAGATGCTACACTCATTGACATGTCGTTGAACTCTCTTGAATAGCCCTTCCCAATGAAACACAGCCTGGACCCTCTTGACCGTCTTCAGCACTCCCGAATGCCCACCACTCTTACTATCATGATACTCAGCTAAGATCAACGGAATCATCGGTGACTGTTTCGGAATCACTAGCCTCTTCTTATACCACAGTTTCCCCTGTACCACTGCATAGTTTTTATTTGACAATTTTCCTTCGGTAACCAACTTCATCAATTGTTGTATCTCTACGTCCTCATCAATCTCCTTGTATAATTCTTGTAACTGAATGACTGTAGGTATTGTCAGAGCTAGTAACGATGAACCCCCATTTCCCAGCACCTCTGATTCAATCCTCGAGAGACCGTCTGCAGCCTTATTTTCACAACCCGGCTTGTACACAATATCAAAGTCAAATCCCAGCAACTTCGTTAACCACCGTTGATATTCCATATTAACTTCCTTTTGTTCCAGTAGATATTTCAAGCTTCTCTGATCAGTATGTACCACAAACTTTCTGCCAAGTAGATAATGTTTCCATTTGAGCACAGCCATAACCACAGCCATTAACTCCCGTTCATAAGCCGGCTTTAACTGTTCTCTTGCTGTCAATCCATGACTAAAAAAGGCAATAGGGCGTCCCTCTTGCATCAATACAGCTCCTACACCAAACCCCGAAGCATCTGACTCAATGATAAAAACCTTGTTGAAATCTGGCAATGCTAAAACTGGAGCTTGCACCATTGCTTCCTTTAACTGCTGAAACGCTTGTTGAGCAGATTCTGACCACTGAAAGCTGTCCTTTTTCAAAAGTTCAGTTAATGGCCGAGCAATAGTACCATATCCTTTAACATAGTTCCGATAGTAACCAGTCAAACCCAAAAATCCTCTTAGCTGTTTCACCGACTTAGGTGTAGGCCATTCCCTCATCGTCTGCGTTTTTGCCGCGTCTGTAGCTACGCCGTTCTGTGAGATAATGTGGCCTAGATAATCCACCTGAGTCAATCCAAACGAACATTTCTTCTTGTTGGCTAGTAACCTCTGTTCCTCCAATATGCGTAACACAATGCCAAGATGAATTTCATGCTCTTCCATACTTCTGCTATAGACCAACACGTCATCAAAGAAAACTAGAATGAACTCTCTGAGATGTTTCTTGAAAATTGAATTCATCAAGGCTTGAAATGTTGCTGGTGCGTTTGTAAGTCCAAAAGGCATTACAAGGAACTCATAATGACCTTCCACTGTTCTGAAAGCTGTCTTGGCTATATCTTCTTCCTTCATTCTTATTTGATGATAACCGGCTCGCAGATCTAACTTCGAAAAGAACATAGCACCATGTAGTTCATCCAATAATTGATCTATGACCGGAATTGGAAATTTGTCTGGAACGGTGACCTTGTTAAGAGCCCTGTAATCAACACAAAATCTCCAAGTGCCGTCCTTCTTCTTGACGAGTAATACTGGACTTGAGAAAGGGCTTGTGCTAACACGAATAATCCCTGACTCCAACATTTCAGCAACCATTTTCTCCATAATAATCTTGGTTGCATGGGGGTAGCGATACGGTCTCACGGAGATGGCACTCACTCCTGGTTGCAAGTTAATTGCATGATCAATGCCTCGGAATGGCGGTAAGCCCACAGGCAATGCAAAAACATGATCAAATTTATCCACGAGCGGTGCCAACATCAACGGAATACCTAGAATAGGTGGTGTTACGCCTCCTACTGATGAATAAAGCTCTCCTCTTCCTTTAACATCAGTAGTTGGACTAGGAGCCAATGACTTCATTGAGAGTTTGGAAGAATGGAGTGTCGGATCCCCGAACAATGTCACTTTGTTCCCATGATGAACAAATGACAGTTCCTGCGACTTCCAATCCACCTCACATTTTCCTAACGTCTCGAGCCATTGAATTCCTAAAATAACATCAACCATTCCTAATTCCAACGTGATAAAGTCTGATGTGAATTCGGCATTTGCTAATTGGAACTTGACATCAACACAGACTCCTAAACTCTGTACTGTGACGCCGTTGCCAAGCAAAATGTCGAAACTTGTGTCAGAAATCTTCAACTTAAGTCGCTGGACAATGTGTGGAGTAATGAAATTATGCGATGCACCACTGTCCAGCATAAC